ACGTTCATGAAGCACGAATTACATATTTCAAAGAATTGTATTATTTCATTCATGATCAATTAATATATAATACTTGTATCTTATGGAATTTTATTAATTATTTGTATAGTTTAATTTGTTTCAGAGACTATCGTGATTATTATTCAAAGAAGATGCATATTTCATATAATATCCTTTTTCCTTTCCCTTTCATTTTCCTTAATGATATCGATATCTTTCTGTAGAAGGGGCCCCTAAACAAATCTTAGATTTTTATATAGGTAGATAGATAGCTCATAGGTATTTCGAGCATAAAGAAAGGCAATAAAAAAAGCATTTAGATATTTCTCTGTAAGTTGGGATTGAAAAATAAATTTATTTATATATTTATTGTTTTTTTTTTGTATAAAATTGGAAAGATAAGATTAAGATATAAGTAGTGATATAAGATCACAGAAGATTAATAAAAATTTTAACAAATATAAGTTTTTATACGATATATGAAATGAAATATATAAATAATTATTGTAGTAATTTATATTTTATAGATTTTTTTACTAATTTTTTATATCAAAGATTTATGTAATAAGTGTGAAATGAGTTTGGAGTGAGTGTGAAGTATGTATGAATCAAACGTATATAGGAATCAAACGAATGATACATGTATGTTATATAATTCCTTTGATTTTGTTGAAACTTTTTTGTAAATAAATTTGTCTATCTGTAAATAAATGTTTGTATTATTATATGAGAAAATAATTGTAAACTCATGTTAGGTATTTTGAATCCTTAGGAATTATGGTTAATTATATTTAGAATTAATATATTCCTAAGGATATTTAATTAATCTAGTTTTCCTGAAATTGTTAAAAATTGTTGTTGATGTAAATAGTTGGCTTGTAGAATTGTTGCTATAAAAAAATCGCTGAAAATAGAATTTGTAACTGCATGCATAATTAATGGTAATGATATTAGTGGTGATATTAAAACTACTGATGGTCACTAAGATAAGTATAAGTCTGTATGAAATGTATTTATTTTTTGTTCTCTTTTTGGTTTAAAACCTTGTTTTAAAGTATCAGTATTTTATATTTTCATGGCAATGAATGTATAAAATATTGATATGAAATATATGTGTCTCTATATGTGTCTGTATATGTGTCATATGTAGAATTAGAGTAAGATATAATTTCAGTCTTACTTTCAGGTTTAGCTTATCGCGTCGGTTTTCCTTAAAATTCCTTTTGTTATTTGTATTGCAAAACGATCAAAATTTGAAACGTTTTGGAAACATTCACCAAAAGGAAGATTTAAAATTTTTGCACTAAAGGAGGGTGGATGGGACGTCGTGGTTAGGGTTGGGTCTCCAATTCGCAGCAACCTCCAAGCCGGTGAGACCTGGGAAATCATTATTATTTACTATATAATTCATAATTATATCGTATGATGCAATTATAAATTTTATAGCAAATAATATGAGCTAATTGGCTGCGAGCGCGATTATAATTTTAATTATTAAGGTTTATTGAATTATTTACAACATCCTAATTTTTTTAAAAAATTTTGATGTTATAACTTGTTTACAATAAGCATTTTGTTGTTATTAATTCGAAACATTCTTTTTTCGAAAATGTGATGTTAATCTCATTAGATATTATGGCTATTCCTATTTGTATCTTCTTTATAGATTGAGTTTCGATTATAAGTCTGTTTTATCCACGGTATATCTTTAAAACTCAGAAGATGGTGCTAGTAGTCAATTCTTATTCTATTTCTATCTTTCTCGTGTTATTTGCTCTTCTTGTCTCTATGTGTTTTAAACGACACACTACAGATGGCATTGATGTTCCAATTTGTATCATTTCTTGCATTATTTTGTCTCTTTGTAAAATTTGTGATGGTTTCGATATTTAATTAATTTTTATCATCTTCTTTGCCTGTCTTATTGATTAAAAATCTCAATAAAAACTATTCGATTGAATATTTATTATCTGTATAAAGTATTTATTTTATAATTATATATATTATATCAATTATAATTTCTTATTTGAATTATAGAATTGATCTTCCAAAAATATCCCAGATTAATACACTATATAGTATTCTGATTAGAAATAGAAATATTTCGGGTAATAAAATTAAATGACTTACCCCCTATAGTTGATAGGTACAATAGATGAGTTGATTGCGGGTTAATAATGAATGATAACATACGATTTATTATACAATAACAATCGGTCAGTTTATATACACGTGTCTACGAAGTTCAGCGTTGGATAATTTTTCATCTATCTTTGGTCCGCTTCTAGGTGAAGAGCTGTTTAAAATGAATTACAAGAATTCATTCGATTTCGCAAACCTTGCCGCATATCGCACTCTAAAAAGTAATCTACAATGACAGCGGTATAAGATTCTGTACAATATTTACATACCAAAAGTTTCACAAAAATGTTATCTTTCGCAACTTTATGGATATCTTTGATTAATCGTAAAAGTATTGTCTTTTTGAAACAAAGTTACATAGTCCACTTGTTGGATGTTTTTTTCGAGTTGAATAAACGTATATGCCTGATGAGAAAATTGCTCGTGTAGAAATATTAAGCACGTAACATCGATCGAAATTGAAATGAATATTACAAAAAGACAAAGATACATTTGCATGAGCGTTTGAAAAATTATTTCGAAGAAAAGTAATAATAAATTGGATGGATTTCGTTTTTCAAGTTTCATACAATTATGAAATTTATATTATTGAATGAATGATATATAATGATATATAAATTAACGGAAAAATATAAAATATTAAATAATACATAAATTAACGAAGTAAAATATTAAATATAAACTAATATTTGACATAATTAATATTTAACGCAATTAAATATTTAACATCGTTGTTTGGACAAATAATAAATGAATAATACATGGCTCCATCAAAATTTAATTAATACATTGAATTTGAATCTCAAATAAAAGATTCAAAAGAAACAACATTATCCCGTGTGAGAAAGAGAGAGAGAGACATCGCATCGAAGATGAGAAATATTCAAATATTAAATTTTTATTTACAATAAAAAAATTCCTGAAATTAAACGAATCCATTGCTTCCGTATCCCCTTAATTTTAAAACGACAATCAAGCAACGATCAACGAAAACAATTAAGGACAATTATCGAATAATAAATCGAAAACTGTAAACGACGAATAAAATTTCGTTCGTCATCATTCGAACACCGAATCCTATCGAACGATATTTTTTCCCAAGCGCAAAAATATAACGAAGGAACTTGCAAATATTCACAGAACGTTGCACGATCATCTTCTTCGAAACTAACTATCGGAGAGCAACACGGTCAAATCCGACGTTTGACATCTCATCTCTGACGCCTCGCAAGGGGTGTCCGGAGTGTCCGGTATCACCAGAGGTTCGGTGATTTGGCATCTGTCACCTCTCCTACAAGATTTCACGATCACCTTAGAACCTGTGCACAGTCTCTCCACTTGAACACTCCTCCTCCAACCGGGGCCACGCGCCGATTCACTGTTGTTGCTCGATTTTCTCCGTGCAGGAGAGGAATGTGCGCCCCTATTCCCAACGAGCAACGAGCAAACTCGCCTCCAAACGTCCATTCCCTCCGCCCTTTTCTCCCTTCGCTTCTGCACGCTCTCCGTTTCACCTACCCCCGTTTTATCACCGCCACTCTTGCACAACTTCTCCACCTCGTTCGAGCATTGCTCCTCCTCCTCGGACGACGCGGCGCTGGCCGAATCTCTGCTGGCCACCAGTCGAGAAATCCTTGCGAGGAACGTGCCACCCCCCGAGGGGGCATCCCTCTTCCAGAGACGGGGAGACGCGATGCTCTTCATAGCCTCGACGATCCTCCTTTTCACCCACCAAATGTCCATAGATCGTATCTTCCGCACGGACGAGCGCCCCCTCGTAGCCGCCTCCTCGCCCGTGTTTCTCGCCTCGCCTCCAGTTTTCCTTGCACGGTTGTCCCGCCGTTTGGCCAGGAAATACGCCAGGCACGCCTGCGGAATGATAATAAAGCGGTTTTTTAGCGAAGGAATCCGGTGCTCGTTCGCGATTTAATTGGAGCGAAATGCACGAGGTGTTGATATATATTCGAGGGATATTTTCAGGGGATTAAGTGAAGCGAATAAAATAATTATCTTTAATAGAATCAATTTTCATAATGATAATTCATGAGTATCATCTTGTGTATGTGCAGAAATAGATCCATAAATGGCAAAGACTTTCGAGATCAAGTTTCACAATTTTCGAATCAATTTTATTCAACAACTCGAGCTCTCATTTTCAAGTTTCGCAAAAAATTTTGTCCCGATCGAAACGACGGGAGAAACGGGGACGGAAGCGATATTTAATTGAAAAAGGAACGACAAGGAATCACAGGAAATAAGAACGAGGGAGATATCTATTTTCAAAAAAGAGAAATTGTTACAGAAATTTAATTTATCTCCGAATATACGTTTTAAAAGTATTAGACGTTTAAAAAGCATTAGTAAAATTGATTTCGAAGTGTCTTTGGTGTGGATAGTGAACTGTTTATATAGAGTCTCAAGATCTATGGATGCACCAGTGTATTAATTTGCAGCGATAAAGTTGACAAACGATATTCGAGAGACAGATGGAAAGATGAGGGAAGAGACAGAGGTTGACAGATTATATTTCGTTACAATGGCGGGGAAAAAGTTTGCGGTTGCATTATACGGGAAGCTCCCACGGGATATGGTTTATAATGTAATTCGTGGCGGTTTCGTGCTTTACCGCCGCTACTTTAAACCTATCTCCGGATGAATTTCCGCCTGCTTTGGCGGCCGTCGTGGCCCGGAAGTTGGCCAACTTGCGTAGAATTGAATTTACAATATATATATATATTTCGCTCGATATCTTTCTTAATCACCTCATTCTTTCTTTTCTTTTCTTTCTTTGTATTTTCCAATAGTATAGAGTTGTTGTGATATATTTCATTTCTATTTATAGAATAATGTATAGAGTAAAATTAAAAAAATTTGGATTCATTCAGAGTCCATCAGATCGATGTATTTTAAGTGCAGAAACGATTATAAATATTCACGATCTTTCTCGTCGAATTCTTTGCAGGGTATAATATAATAATCCAATTTTAATCTAATCCAATCTCGGATAAGCAGTGGTAATACTAATTAGAATATTAAATTTTAAATGTGTAAAACTTTTAATCAGCTAGAATATATTTTATGTTTATTCAATCGGAAGATATTAAAAAAGAAAGAAACAAAGAAAGAAAAAAAGGATAGAAAATCAATGTTTTTTAATATTTCCGCGATATTTGAGCAAGATTCGAGGGAATTGAAAATTTGTTTAATATTCCATCATTTCTTTAGATTTTCAATTTTGTTGATTTCATTTTATTAGAATGTAGTATATAAAATTACTATTTTAACTCTTTCATCTGAGGATCTTAGGTTTCGTTTTATGGTGGTGGATGATTTTAAAAATGGGACGACGAAGAAATACTCGTGAAAAATGTGTTTTGTATAAATCCTTTTGTCAAGGCAAGTAATAGAAAGTTTGAGATCAACTTAAGCTGAGATTATTTTCTATCTACAAGTAAACTTTTTCCATTTAACGTACGTTTTATTTATATTATACGTACGTATTCACGTCACATAATACGCGATTTGAAAAAGAAATTGTTCCATCTTGTTAATAAGAAAAATACGGATATAAATATTTTCAATTTATATATTCAATCAAATCAAACGAAATGGAATTTTTTCTTTCTTCGAATAGTTTCCCTTTTTTCGGAAAACGTGTCATTCTCGATCATCCCGGCGAAAAAATATATATCTATATATTACATTCGTTCTTTTATGCGTTCACATGAAATTCGAATAGAAATTAAAATTTTTTTTTTTTAATAAATAAACCGAGGGGGGGGGAAAGAAAACGAACAAATCGAGAATCGTATCTCTCGATCGAGCGTACTCGTTAATAATATATTTCAGTAAATTTTAATGTTTACCGTGCAATTTTTTCCCCTTTCTTTCTTCTTTTTTATTTTTTTTATTTTTTTTTCAATAATGAACACTCGTGCGTGCATCCGGATCGAAATTAAACGAACTGATTATTATTTGCCATAGAAATATCTGTGCGCTTTTACGGGTTTACAGAACAAAAACATCGATGTAATTGAATCGTATTTCCCCGCGTGATGCAACATATTTTCCATTGGAACGAGAACGCGCAACTGTTGCCGTGTTTTTTTTATGCATATGTACAAATTTTAATTGACAGGACGAGTAATTGGATTTGCGTCGGTATTCGATACCGTCAACGGTACTTTTGCAGTACTGAACATATCGCTATATTCCGTGGCCCCGTGGAGATGTACGTATATTTTTAACTAGTTAAAAATACGAGTTGTTAAGAAATACAAGGATGGAGAAATAACTTTGGAGAATTTATACAAATTTATAAATTTATTGAAAATTGATTGAAAATTGATGGAGCAAAACGTGGTTGATTATTTTTAAAAATTCTCTTTTAATTGGTTCAAATTTTTTAATCGAAGATCATTCGTCTTTAGTTATTATTATATGAAACGAATTTCCTCCCGAGCATTCGATCAAAATTAACAGACTGAGGACCGGTTACCTACATTTCGTAGTTTAAAAATTGATACTGGAATCAAATTTACACGTTTTTATTTCTATTGTTACCAAAAAAAAATTTGCAAACGCTTCTAATGATTAAACGAACGTCAGTTTTACTCGCGAAAATAATAACTCTATTCGATATTTTTACGTATCAATTTTTATCTTGATACCCGAAATCGATACTCTTGAAATACGCCCCGCGTATTTTTTCCTTTTCGATATTAATTAAATAAAATAACATTAAAAAAAAAAAGCTCTCCTCGACTTTTGTCGTTCGAAATAAAAAAAAAAAAAAAAATTGAACCGGAGATGAAAACTTACCAAGATCGACAGTAAGACGAGGATAATTGCTGCAACGATGTACCAGCGATCGATCATCCATCGTTGGAAGCTTGCTAGGCTGGCGTCCGACAAGAGTAGTCTTCTCAAAGTTGCCAGCGGTCCGCTGGGATCCACCTTGACGAATCAAACGAATTAAACGTTGTCGAACAATGTAATTAAGATCGATAATATAAAGATGGGTAAAATATAAATGGAAAAATCTCTGTTCTCTGTTCCATCGAACTGAAAAACGTGGAGAAAAGAGGGGCTGGTTGTATTACCTCTCGACATCTTTGGAAGACGTCGCAATACCCATTGTAATCGTTGCACGGCGTGCCTGGTTTCGACAGCATGTCAGGAATATCGTAAGGCGCTGAATTCCATGCGAACGATGATCTGCAAAGAGAGGAATGGTACTTCTCAATGCTCGACGAGCTCGAGCTTGCTAACAATCCCGTTTCCCCTCGAGTTTTTTTTCCGTTGCGTGGATGATACGAAGGAAACGGAATGCGGATTCACGCGGATGCGGATGAAGATTCGGCAAGTTAAAAAATCCAAGGCAAAAGAATTTATCGTATTAACCCTTTGAGCGTTTATCGGTGTTAAAAGGAATTCGCGATAAAAGTAAAAGTTACGCGCAAAGAAATTTTTTATCAAGAGAATCAAGGTAAATATTACGAGATATTTTTATACATAATCTAAATAAATATTGAAAGATTGCTTATTTGTTGTATAGTTACTTTTCATACGATATATTTATTCTTTTTATATATATTAATACTTATTCTTTCCCACGCAAGAGAATAATTATTTTGTATTAATCGAGAGACAAAATCACAAAACGATCACTTTTTCATCGATCGATATTTCAAGTTATATTATAAAATAATAATATAAATCATTTTTTCGAGTATCGTCTCAGAATACAATTTACAAATACAAATACAGAATACATCATTAGATACACAAATTTGTATCGATCTTGATTTGAACGAACTTTTCACTGAAATCAACAATTAAATTATCCCATTCGAGGAGAGTGAGAAAATTGCTTTTCGTTTCAAGCGGGCGATGAATTACTGGGATGATGAAACGCTCAAAGGGTCGACCGATCGATAAACGGCAGTCGTCAAATCTCCTCGAATTATTTATTTCCCTAGTAAAAAGGTTTCTCCCTAGTAGTAAAAGAGGATAATTGAAACGAGTGGAAACATTGGGGCGAAACCACGTATCGTAGGGGCGATCGTCTCTCACAGGCATGGTTGATCCTCTCCTGCCAATTTACAGCAGAGTTCGCAGCTTTTGGTCGGGGGATCGTCGGGTCCCGCGATGCACTGACACGATTCCAATCCGTAAGCCAGGCAAATGCTCCCGGTACATTCCTGCAAGCAATGCAACAGACCGATAAAGTGTCAGCCTACTACCACTAGAATAAACCTCTAAATACGAGGTAATTTCCCAGTGGAGGGGATCTTTGAAGAGGGATAAGCAATTGGGGATATCCGCCACGAGGTTTTCTCCTTTCGTCGTTTCTCGTTGAAAACTGGACGAATCGCGTGGGAAACGTAATTACGTTAGAAATTGTGATACGTTTGTTCTTGGAATAAAATATTTAATTAGTTGATTCGAGGAGGATATTTGAGTTTAAGGGATCGATTTATGGAAAATTTGAAACATGAAAGTTTAAAAATAGGGTGTACATAGTATCTGTTAATAAAATTTATTAAAACAGTGGCCAATAAGGAAAATGTATTTATCGCGAAGATTATCGATCATCACCTTCTTAATCACAAAGCAAACAATTTTTATTTATACATCTCAAGTTATATGTAACTTCAACCCCTTATGAGACATTCCATTCTCGTTTGTTGAAACATCTTACAATACAAGGATTATTAAATTACTAGAAAAAAATAAACTAGAGAAGAATGATTATTGGATATCGAAACACGACTAAAGAAGAGGAGTTGGCGTTTCAGAAGACTAGTAAAAATATATTCGCAATATAGAAATGGAATATCGTGGGAATTAAATCTTTTCCAGGGATTATTTCTCGGAAAACGTGCATCATTACGTAGCACGTGGTAAGAACGAGCGTCGTTCGAAAACACAACGGCAAAGCAAATTGCAAACGGCAGCTGACTCGTCCCATCTCGGCTCGTTATTGTACTTGCAGATTAGAAAGCCAGTATTTCGGGAGGGAGGAGTATCGATTCGTAGCTGCCGATGCGTACTGTCGAATTGTTGCACGTGTGCGGCCTGAAGCGCGTTTTCAGCTTGGCTGGCTGTAATCCAATGTTTCTACTCGAACTACAGGAAATAACCTTGCGCCCGTTATCACCCTCTGTTCGATGTTCGTTTCGTAGACCAAGAAATCGATCTATCTCTTAACTTTTACCTTGGTCGACAATTTTATTAAAACGGTTCAGGATATTTTGTAAAGAAATACATACATACACAGAGGAATATTGGATGAAAGATAAATTGGTACGCGCATTATTTCTCAAATTTTATGATCATTTCTGTTCCTATCGAATTTATTTAATTAATTCTACCACGTTGAATCATACCTCGTAGATATATGGCTATCTATACGATAACCGAAAGAAAATTAAATCCAAATTGGCCATTGTAGAAAAATTTCCGGGCAAATTTTCAAAATCAAAATCGACCGATCCCTTTAATTTCATTCCCCCGAATTTCGAAAATCATCCGTTCTATATCTTCCTCCCCGTGGAATTAATTTCGAAACGAAGTTGAAATTTAGTGAAAAAGCCAATCCGTATTCTCGACACGCGGGGAATCATCCGATCGAAGATGCGAGCAAGGAATGTCTCTCGAGATTTCGAACGACAAATGAATGCACTATCGCACTCGATCCGAAGGATATTTCATTCCTCGATGTGCGTGTGCACGCCAACCTCAAAGCCTTAAATCCACGCTTCAAAGCGCGTAGGAAAATACCACGCGTACGTTTCGAGATCGTTTCCCCGCTGGATTTTTCTCCCCAAGAACGAGAAGCAATCTAGGACCAACCATACTACTCCGGAGGAGAGCGGAGAATTTGCTCGTTTTTTTCGAATCTCTCTGCGGATTTATTCCCAAAGTCGTCCACGAGATGGAAATTTAAATGCAAATATCTTGTCAAAAGGGAGAAAGAAAGTTTATTGTTATATTTTTTGGAGATTTGTTGGTAAATTTTTCGGTTATTGATTTTGACATGAACGTTTCTTTAAATATTTCTTCTTCTCGTTGATCGTCGTCCGATGATACGTGCTTCGTCGTGATTATGGAGTAATCGATTCGTGTTAGATCCGGGAAATGGTCGGCCTTCGATGAATAAGTAACTAGGCGAGCAGCTAGTTTCGCAACAGGAAATCGTAAGTTGGTAATATTTGATGTAACCATTTTAGTTTGGGAATTTTTATTAGATTTTATAGGAGAGAAAAATTTTCGATCAAACTTAATCTTTTATCGACTCAAGAGGGGGATATCGATTTTTTCGATCGATTTTCTAAAGAATTTGAATTAAAAGGCGAGATTATCGTAATGAATGTTCAACTTTCTTGTTTTCGCGATTCTACGATTCCCTGATTCTCAATCTATTTCTTATTATTTCTTCTTCGTTAAATTTATAAAAATCCAGACGATTTGATGAAACAAAGTAATTCGAAATTATTTATATACCATTTTCAAAAGCTTTCATCAATCGAATATTCAACCACTACTATTCTTTAATTCATCTGATTATTTGCATAAAAATCCGCAATTTGATTATTAGCAAGATGCAAATCGCGGGGAAAAATTTGCGTTAATTCGACAGAGGAATCGACCTTTCCTCTGAACTTTCGTACATGAGCACGTGAAACCACCTACCCTGTTGTTGTTGCGAAGGTGTCCCGAAGAGGATGTTGGAAATTCACAGGATGGGAAAGGAATGACGTGTAACAAGAGAGAACGGTAGAGGAAGCATGTACACTCACCCCCATGTAGCAGACGTATTCCTCGTTGCATATGGTCTTGTTGGGCTTGTTGATGGATGGCGGACACTGGGGGCTACGCCCGTCGCAAAAGCTCGCGTCTCTGCAACCGTTGTCGTCCCTGCACTTATCGCCGTTGCGCAGGGTGCAACCGGATGTGCAGCAAGGGCCCTGGAAACATGGCGAGAATGAACGACGCCGCACCGCTGTACATTCACAGTGCACACACAGGAGAACACACGCGAAAGAAACGCGTGTCCAGTTGTGTGGAACGTGTGTACGTATCGTTTGTTTTCCCTTTTTTCCTTTTTTCCAGATCGTCGAGAAATACGACTGAGCTGTGTGTTCGCGCGCGATGGATGCGCATCGCTTTGAAAAGAGAGGGAGTTCTCGTTGTGGGAACGCTTTCAACGTTTATATCGGCTTTCAACGTCTATATTGTCCACGATATACGGATCTTTGGAAATCTTCTCCGGAACGTAACCGCGAGACACTCCGTTAGATAGATTCGGAAATAACGATTTGGAAAATGGATTTTTTGGAAGAAAGAAAAGGTATTTTAATCGCGTTAAGATTATTTTTTACATTACGGTCTGTTGTTATTGATTTGGTGCAAAGATCTTTCTTAGATTTTCCATTGGTTAATTTTTCGAGGGATACGCCTCTTCTCGATGTGTTTTGCTGTTTAAAAAATAAATTTGTTGAAATGAAAATTGTTAAAATTGAGATTTTGGAAAAGAAGGAGTCTTCCTGCAATTTTCCATTAATTGCCAGTTTATAATTGCTGACGATCGCGCGTGGCTTTGTCCGATCGAAAATTCATGATTTACCAACGTCTGGCGCAACGCACGGTTGTTGTTTTTTTTTTTTTTTTTAAATTCGGCCGCTTTGTAGCGCTCGTTAATTTATTTTCGGCCGCTCGTGTGTCGATGATAATGCGCGGTCCAGTTGGAACGCGTTCCACACTGTATTGTGCGAGGCCAGGAACAATATCTCGATTTTTCGGCCGATTTTCTGGACAGAACAATGGGCAACATTGTACGCGCCCGAGAATTTGGGGCAATGCGATATCAAGACCCCCTCTCCCTTTATTTTTATTTTTCTTTCTTTTTCTTTCTTTTTTCTTTCTTTCTTTTTAATTCTTAATTTTCCTATTTCGCTGTAGCTTTCTCTCTCTTTCTCCTTTTGTTTCTTCTTTGAGAAGATTTAAACTATTATACATTTTTCAGGTATTTTTACTTCTAATTCATTTCTAATTCATTTGCGCGGTTATTGGGATTCACTGTTATTTATCCCTTTTTCGGGAAATTTCTTTTTCAATTTTTTTAATTGCTCTGTTGTGCCGTGCTCGCCACGCTTTCAATCGAAAATTCGCGGAAAAAGCGAAATTTGTATTGGATCCCATACATATTGGAACACGAATCTCTGGGACAACGGCACTTTAGTAATCGATCATCCTATCCAGTATATAACGCGATAAAATTTACGATAGTTGTACAAAAAAAAAAAAAAAAGAAAAAAAAAAAGGTTCGCTCGATGTCACGTCGATCGGTGTACGCATGACTTCTTGATATTTTCCGTTGTATCACGCAAACATTGCCGATATATCAATGTGCAATGTTCATATCGAAACTCGAAATATAATATTCGTATCAATAACTTAATGTATCTTTGCAGAAATCCACAAATCGTTACGATTTCAATGCTTGATCAAGTAATTGTAATTATTATATATGCATATAGTCAATGACACGTGGTAGCATACAGTAAACAAATAAATCGAAATTAACCGGTAAATAATGACCGATTAATAGGTACATTAGACACATATTTGAATTGATTATAGTGCTATTGATATTGAACGATATTATGGAATATATATATATATATATGAAAATATATTTACTTCTGATAATTATACGACAAGAATTTGTATATATTATTCGTAGGAAGAGGTTCTCGATTAATTTTCATTGGATTTATAGATCAATGTCAAAGTTAGAACGAGATTAGAAAATAAATAAAGAGGAATATATAAATTATGTTAAATAATAGATAGATGTATAAAAATTTCTGCATCGAAATTTTTTTTATTAAAAATCTAATTTATTTCTTCTATCACGATTAATTTTATTCAAATTTCAACCGTCCAATGGGATTGAATCCAATCCAATCTTTCATCAATTTTTCAGATTTTTACGTATATAAATTATCAATTTATCGTTATAAACGGTTCACAAAATCTATTCGTGGCAGCAATAATGAATATTTATGGAATTCAAAGAGCACGCAAAGCAGAAGTTTTTCAGACTTTGTCGAGATGATACGTGCAAAAGTAGTTTTGGGAAGGGCACAAACTGTTTGCCAAACCGTGATTTCACGCTTGGAAAACTTTCACTCTGATTTTCTTTATAACTTTGCAACCGTTTCGATAAATATTCGAAGAAATCGAGTATCGTTTCACGTTGGAAGATCGATACACGAAAAATCTTTCCGGGGAATCGGATTGTTGAGGTTTTTTTTCAGACGTTTCGAAAGCGTTTCAGCGATTAAAGCGTGCATTAAAGACGTTGTGCTCGCTCGAGAAATCGTGATTCCTCCTCCCGTTCTCGCCACCAACTTTACGAGATCCCCGGCTTTCCATCTGGGAAATTGCTGTATCTGCAATTACACGCGAAACACTCAGGCGGATGCGAGGAAAATTCAAAAGTACCGCCGTGAATTTCTAAGAAATTCGCAATCCAGTTCGACTATTTCGAAAAAAAAATCTTCCCCCTTCGACTTTCACGAAATTCAAATGGACGAATTGATGAATACGCGTATGATTTCTATTTAATACGCGATGATATTTGATGTTCCAAGACAAGTACAAAGGTGTACAAAAATATCGAAGTTTACTTATTAACAATTTAAATTTGCTTAGTTATCAAGAAATTTAGAGATTAATTAAAATGGTTCCATCTTCGTCGCATTGTTCCATTTCTCACTTCATCTAAAATTTAAATTGCGTAACTTGATAAATAAGTTTCAATATTATCACGTATCAACTTCACTTTCCTTTTCTTTCTTCTTTCTTTTTGCCTCTAAAATCGACTCTTCAAAAACACTCTATCTTCGAATAATAATGCACCAGCATTGTTTAACAGATTAAAAGTAAAATTTAAACGATATTAAATACGATCGATCAATCATCGCGATGATTTCATCCAAAAATTTCCCTCTTAAATGTCCGACAACTTACGAAGTTTGAGAGTGCACCATGTAATCGATGAGGATTTCCCATCCAGGGAAAAAAACACCACCAAAAGGTCACCCTCCCTCCCTCCCCTCCCTCCCCTGCAGCCAATATCTCCTCGTATCGAGAAACTTGGGGAAACAGCAGGGGCACAGGGGATCTCGTCGCTCGACAATTTTCGATTTAATTAAATCGAGGGGCAGAGGGTGGTGGATCGAGGGAGGGGGCGGGAAACGTTTAAGCGAATCGAATGATTTTCGCTTAACGTCCAGATAAGAACGATCCACGGTTTGAATATCTGATAGAGGGATACCCCCGTGGGATCGGCAGTCGATGCTTGGAAAATAAGGTTCCCCGGTCTGATACGTTTTCCGGTTCAACGAATTGGCACGGAGAGAGAGAGAGAGAGAGAGGGAGAGGGAGAGGGAGAGCAGCGGAAGAAATTCGATGCTGATGCAAGTGGATGTTATTCTCGGTGTGCGTGCATATATCAGGAAATAAATAACCCGATGGAAAAGTGCATTCGGCCTGAATGAGAGAATATTACACCAGAAAGAAAAATCCTGGCACTGGTTTTCTAAGACTGTTTTCCCTACCGGAATTCCTACCGATCTCTCGCCACGTAATTTTCTAAATAGTGTAGAAAATAAAAGTATAATGGTGTAGAAAATAAAAAATAATGAAGAGTGTAGAAAAGAAGGAAGAAGGAAAAAAAAGGGAAAGGAGAGAATGATGAAAGATGAAGAGAAAGGGGGGAGGAAGGGGTAGAGAGGTTCGCCAATTACAGATTCGAAAAGATTTTCAATTTCCTTTCTAAGAGTCGACGGCGTTTAATCGCGCCCCTTTATATCTGGCCTCCTCCCTATAGAGGAATAGGAATGCCTCATTCCAAGTTGGCGATTAACGTTTTCAATCAGAGGGGGATAAGACTTATCTCTAAACGGCTGCGAAGCTGCAATTCCCAACGAGATTTAGGACTTGCCTTAATGCCCCGACCGTGCCGGCAATGTCAAGAGTCTCGCCCCTTTTATTTAGGCCCTATCTCTGGATATATTCTTAATTAGAAACGATAAGGGGTATCGTTTGGCCGTCGAGTTCATCTTCGAGGGTTACAATTTCGAGGGGAGGGGAGAGGGGTTGAAATTTAAATTGTCGAGAAATATATCTTCCTGGCTTCATCGCTTCATCACAACCTCCACCCTGTGTTTACGTAATCGTACATCCTGTTAATTCGAGGGGGTGATAAGTCTTATCTGGTGTATCATAATTTGAGCAGAGAGTTTCGCCATTGTTAATTTGGCTCATAGTTTAAGGAGTACAAGATTTCTCGCAGAGGGAAGATTAGAGTTTCGATCGTTTTTCGTGTTTATTTTGTAGATTCTTTTTTTTTTTTTTTGAAACAGGTTTATCTGCGATGAAGATTTTTAAAAATGAGAATACAGTAGGAATTTTTCGCAATTAAGATTCTTTTTAAACATATTCTAATAATTTTTCGTTTATTCACTCAAATGTAATGGAAAAAAATTGAATCTTTCCAAGATTCGATACAACAATAGCGGAAGTGATTATTGTGTGATACACGAATCTTGGTTCGACACTCGCGCTTGGATCGACGTTTACTTGTATGGCGAACACGTAATAATGAAATTTGAGGAGCTCTCTCTTGCCAGCAATCTTACACTCGCGCTGAATCTCGGCCCTCGAAACGTAATAACACGGTGTGAAACGGATCAATTTATCGGATTTCAATACTTTCAATAGGGAGAATCTTGAAGGGGACGGATGAAGGAAATCATGAAACTCCGTCTTGGAGTAATTGCCGTTACAGGTGTAACGAAATGTCGCGGTTAACGAAGCAAGGATATTATACGAATCATCCTTGATGAAATTCATCCGGTTTGTCGGAGCTTGAGCTATTTTCCCTGGTCGACAGGGA